TATATATATATATATATTGGGAGTACAAATTAGTTCAAAAATGCATTTGTTTCAAAATGAATGAACAGATCAATTAAAGTATTGTCCATCGCTGCCTACTACTTTTTCCCATCTCTCAGGCAATTTTCGAATTACATCTCGAAAAAATGACTCATTTTTGGAGGCGATCCAATTTTGGAGTCAATTTTCGATTTCCGCGAAAGAAGTGAACCGGTGATTTGCTGCATCCTTCGGAACAATCAGAAGGATCAATGTCCGGAGAATATGGCGGGTAAAACATTCCATTTGAGCGTTTCCAAATATTTTTTTACGACTTTAGCGACATGAGGCCGAGCATTGTTATGAAGAAGAATAACTTTATTATGTCTTTGCTCGTATTCCGGCCGTTTTTCTCGCAATGCACGGTTCAAGCGAATCAATTGTAGCCGATACCGATCGCTCGTAATGGAATCGCCAGGTTTCAGCAGCTCATAGTAAATAAGACCCTTTTGGTCCCAGATACAGAGCATGATCTTCGAACCATGAATGTTCGGCCGTGGTGTTGATGTTGAGATCGATGGCAATGATTGATAGGGCTTAACGTATTTTTTCTTCTTGGGGTTGTCGTAGAATATCCACTTCTCATCTCCAATCACAATCCGATGCAAAAAAATTTTTCTCTGTTGTCTTTAAATCAGCTGTTCGCAAGTGAAAAATCGCCTTTCTCTTGATTTCAGTTCATAAGGCACCCAATTTCCTTGTTTTTGAATCATTCCCATGGCTCTCAAGCGTACAGAAACGGCTTGTTGAGTTACCCCTCAATGAAGCTCCTCTTGCGTTTGACTCTGATCTTCTTCGAGTAATGCCTCTAATTTTTTGTCTTCGAATTTTTTTGGCCAGAGTGAAGCTTATCTTTAACGCTGAAATCTTCATCCTTGAAACGTCGAAATCATTCCCTATTTGATTTATCAGTTGGAGCAGTGTCACCATAAACTTCGACAAGTATTCGATGGGCTTCAGCCGCACTTTTCTTCCAATTAAAGCAGAAAATCAAAACCTCCCATAAATGCTGCTTGGTTAATACAAAATTCGACATTTCAAACACAATAAAAATCAAGGTTTCTGAAACTCAAGCCATATAAACTAAATATTATTAGCAGATGTTTAACCTCTCTGAACCGCCAAAATCAGCTGTCACTATGAACATTCACAACAGCTGGAGCAATCTTTAGGGAAACGGACCAAACTAATTTGTACTTCCAATACACACACACACACACACACACACACACACACACAGGGTGTATATATATATATATAT